ATATATAAATTTTGTAATGTAAAATCAGCGATTACTCCTAAATGATTAGTTTAGTGACAATTTGTTATAACTTTTTTATCTGCAATTTTTTATTACCTACTGACTTATTTCCCACAGAAAGATTTCTTTCCTCTTTCTATGCTGGGGAGTACTGGAGGTAAGTTCTGTTAAATAAGGAAGGAACTTGTGACTAGCTTCTTTTCCTTAGTTTAATATTTTGTTTCATCTAGGATGTTGCGTATATCAATAGTCTGTTCTTTTCTATTGCTGAGTAGTATTCTATTGTACAGATATACCACAACTTGTTTATCTAGTCACCAGTTGTTGGACATTTCAGTTATTTACAGTTTTGGTGTTTGTTAATAAAGATTTTATAAGTATTTACATATAGGTATTTGCATAAGCATGTATTTTTACCTCTGTTAAACAGTTATGGGATATACAGTAAATGTAAATCTAACTTCATAAGCAACTGCCAAACTGTTTTTTCAGCAATGTCTGTGAACATCAGTTGTTCTGAATCCTCACCAGCCCTTAATATTGATTGGCTATTTGATTATTTATATATTTATTTTTAATGTTAGCCATTGTAATAGAACCTGATTCCTTGTGATTTTTCCATAATGGTATTTTGGGCATCTCTATGGTCCTGTGAGAACCCTCTTTTTTCTGTTAGGCTGCCAGTCTGGCCAAAAGTTTCTATTAAGTCATGAACATATGAAATCAGGTTCTCCATTAGGTGGAGCATAGCTAAGAGTCAAGTTATTTGAACTTCCTTTTGTCAGCAGGTTGAATTGATTGGAAGATGAAACTGGTAGCTTTTCAGGATTAATAAAATGCATCTGTTTCATTGGAGAGACTTCTACCATAATCCTATATAACTGCTTCATACTGGAGCCCTTTCTAACAAAGAACTCCAGAGAAGAGAGTAAATGCTTCAGTGAAAATGTATCAGCAGCACAGAAAACCTTCAGCTGCATGTTCAAATGTTACCCAGATAACTCCCTGGGAAGTGAGGAGGGAAGTTTAACCAAACAGTCTAAAGGACCTTTAATTGAAATGTTTTCACTATTAAACAAAAAAGCCATTGTTGTAATGTGTACTAAAAGTCTTTTTATTTTCTTCATAGAATTGCTTTTCTGTCATCACTGACTTAATTAGATTGCACCAGTTTGTCAGATGTCACATTCGGGTTCCTTCAGCTGCAAAATAGAGATAATAGTCTACGTAATTTAATAATCATGTGCCAGCATATTGTTTTTCCTAATCAAGATGAACTAAGAATTTTATTACTTTGGAATTATTAGAAAGTTCAAGGTTTTCTTTTTTATCTGTCTTGTATTTTACAGGTGGCTTGTCTCATATCTTGCATTTTCATCCTGACAGTCATTTATGCAATAGGACCTTTGCTTTACTGGCTGCCAATGGTACGGTAGTGCTCTCCCATAATCTGCTTTTTAAGTTTACTTATAATGAGAAGCATTGCATATTAAAATTTCTTAAATGACTGCCCTAGCTGGTTTGGCTCAGTGGATAGAGCGTCAGCCTGCTGACTGAAGGGTCCCAGGTTCAATTCCAGTCAAGGGCACATGCCCGGGTTTACAGGCTCGATCCCCAGCGTGGGGTGTGCAGGAGGTAGCCGATCAATGATTCTCTCTCATCAATGATGTCTCTATCTCTCTCTCCCTCTCTCTCCCTCTCCGAAATCAATAAAAATATATCTAGAAACAAAACAAACAGAAAAAAACAAAGGGACTCAGAATCCTATTCCCAGTGGTTCATCTTGCCTTTCATAAGCCTGAGGTACCAAAGTTATGCAATAAGATTCTGGTCTTCAGAGAACCAGAGGCAGTGTCAGACCTCCCTTGTTCTCATTGGGATAGTGAGATTATATAGTTTCCACTGGAGGATCTTTCAATAATCAAGTTCACACTTCAACAGAGTTATGTCTTTCAGTGAAACCAGGTAACTGATACCCAAGGCGATTATAAAGAAATACATAGCTATCTGGGGAACTCAGTTGGTTAGAGCATCATCCCAATATGTCAAGGTTTGCAGGTTTAATCCCCAGTCAGGTCCCATACCAGAATCAATCAATCAATGCATAAATAGATAAAACAATAAATCCATGTTTCTCTCTCTCTCAAATCAATAAATAAAAAGCTTAAGAAATACATGATATAAGTATTTAATTTTGCAACAAAAAATGGTGGTGGATAATTATTATAAAGTTGAGGACAACCAGCATGCTAACATTTACCCTTATCATTCATTACTTTTCTTTTTCCTTCTTTCTAATTTTTTAGAATGACATGTTTTACCCTGTTATTTTCTAGAATTGATATTATATTCCTGAGGTGCAATAATTGGTTAGTTCTAAACAAAATGAATGCTACATTAGTCTTCTAAATGATGATTGCTTTTTTTTCTAGTAAGTACTCTAACAAAGAAAGAAATTAAAATACTTTGGTTCTTTTAAATTTTGATTAAAATATTTATCTTGCCTTTTCATTAACCTATTTCTTATTTGTAGTGTGTTCTTGCGAGTATTATTGTTGTGGGACTGAAAGGAATGCTCATACAGTTTCGGGATTTAAAAAAATATTGGAATGTGGATAAAATCGATTGGGTTAGTAGAAATTTAACCTACATTTTCATCTTTGACTTAAACACATGTAAAAAATAAATTTTAGTAGTTTCATTTGCAGAAAGTACTTTTAGTCTTTTGAGACTTGTACACTTTACAAACTACCAGTAATTTCTTTTAAAATCCCAATAAATGCATTTAAATGTGAAATGTCTTTATAAGAAATAGGCCTGAGATTTTGTCAAATTTTGTTTGATGTGTTGTTTGAGAACTTTTAAAGAAATGCTAACTAACTTGAGTGGATTGAGGATTCTTTATTTCTGTTATGGATTAATTTTGCCAATGAAGTTCATGAAGTACACATTAATAAAAATATGACAAGTTTAACATGTATGAGAAATCATTCATTGCTAAGTTATGTATATAAGGTGAAAATCTTAGTAGTAACCATATTCATTCTAAATACAAAAAGTCACATGAATTGTGTTTTAAATGGGTTATGTTGAGAGGATCATTATTTTAATAGGATATTGCCAGGAAGAGATCAAATTAAACTAAACAGTGGAAAAGTGTGGCTTTTACTAACATAAATGTTTAACATGCTTGTTCAAGAGCCAAATTGGCCCTGAGCGTTAGCTTTCACAATTTCACAAAAAGTGGCCCCTTGCAAATAAAATTATAACGATCATTGGAGAAGTTGATCTGAAAGTGCCTTTGATCATGATGTTAGATTCAGTCATTTTAACATTAGAGCTTGAATCATGTGGAAAAATAAATTAGTTCTTTATATAGCAATCATAGAAAGCAGAATAGTGTTGGGAATAACCAGACAACATGGCATGCTTTTAAACCGCACACATCAACCAATAATTTACAGATCTTAAATAAAGCGTTTTTGGGCGATTGAATTAAGTACTGGTGGTGGGCAGAAATAAAAGCATGTGCCTTTTACCCTCCATTGCTCCTGAGAGTGTGATGGGGCCCGGATGTGTTTCTGTATTCCTGGGCTTCTGTTTCTGACATCTTACTAAATAATATATTCTTCCTAAGAGATGTGGTTACTGGAATATTGTAGAATAAAATTGTGAGGATTTATCAATTATGAGAATATCAAAGGACCCACATCTTTTCTTTTTGCTTCTCTTTCAGGGCATATGGGTCAGTACATATGTATTTACAATATGTTTTGCTGCCAATGTGGGGCTACTGTTTGGTGTTGTTTGTACCATAGCTATGGTGATTGGTCGCTTCCCAAGGTAAGATCTTATTTAAATGTTCTGTTTATTATGAAACAGCAGCAAAGTATATGGTGTTACCAGTTACTTTTATTTCTGTGGGCTATATAGTGCTACAGTTCATGTCTTATTTTCTATTGGAGACAAAAAAAAAAGGTTTTATCTACATATGAATAATGTTGTTATTCCTGAGGACTTTAGAAAAATACAGATTTACAGTGTCTTATTAACAAATGAGTTAGAGGATCTAAACTATTTTAGGTATACTCCTATTGTTAAAACATCATTTTTACTTCTTCATGGTTAACGCAGTAATTAGGAAATGACATTTTGTTTTCCATCTGCCTTAATTCTAGAGCAAAGACACTGAATATAAAAAACATGAATGAAATGGAATTTAAAATGAAAACAGAAATGGATGATGTAAGTTTAGTTTTTTTTCTACTTTGTGCAGTTATTAACAATTTTTGTGATTAATATAGCTTTAAAATATTAAAACAGATAAATTATGTCATTGAAAACATTATGACTGTATTTTAATTAGTTTAAACTTTAAATTGTATATGTGATTACTATATATATGGCAGTCGACAAGCAGCAAATTAATAGAACAACTGCAACAAAAAATTTATATTAGCATTTATATAAGACAATAGAACCACAGCCCACAGCAGAATTATAGTTCAGATTAATTCAGGCATTTTGGAAACCTCTTTTCCATTGCTCAGTTCCATGAAACAGTCCAACTAAACCAATAGGCCATTCCAAATTAAATGATGAGGGAAGATAGGGAATAGGAAAGGAAATAAGGAGAAGTCAGATCTTGTTACTATTTTTTGTTGTTTTTTTAACACACACACAATGAGATTGTATTATTAACAGATAGTAATTTATTCTAATGATTATGGAATGCCAATAGAATTAGTTTCTTGCACAGTGCACACTTAAAAAACAACAACTTATTTGTTTTGCCCTATCAGGTCAATTGTGTTTTTGTTCTAGCTTTTTTATTCTGAGGGATGGCCAAAACAAGTTGTAAAGTGAGAAAAAAGAAATGTTGCCTTGAACTTTTTGCGAATTGGCCTCCCTTTGAACCTGTTTTGTAAATGTTTGGTTAACCTTTTCTTCTTTATTTTTTACATTTTCTTGTTCCAGTACCTCATGGTTACCCTCAGAACAGAGAGAACTGGCCTTCCCCCAGCAGGGTCACTGTCAGGGTATTTCTGAGTAGACTGGGGGTGAGAAGTAGCACCAGGAGTCCTTCTGGGACGCCTGGGGGAATGGCCTGTTTTCAATAAGGACAAAGAGATTTGCTTCTCAGAGAACTACTGGAGTTCAGAGCCTTCGAGAGTGTCCCAGTATCAACTTTCCCACCAGTGCTGCCTTTCTGTTCCTTCCTCTCTCTTTATTATTTTTTCCTTTTACATTTTACATAGGAATTTGTACAGACGGACTCTTAGGCCCCTAAGATCCTCTATGTATCTACCCCACACATAGTTATATACATTAGCCTTGGCATTCTTAACTTTGAAACAGAATTGAAGTTTAAAACTTAAAATTCTTGAATAGAATTTTGAGTTTTTAACAAATATACATATTTTTTGATTGATTTTGGAGAGAGGGGAAGTGAGGAAGGGGAGAGAGAAGGAGGGAAAAGGGGAGAGAAAGAGGGGGAGGGGAAGGTGTGAGGGAGAGGAACAGATTTGTTGTTCCACTTAATTGTAGATTCATTAGTTGATTCTTGTATGTGCCCTGATCAGGATTGAACCTGCAGCCTTGATATATCAGGATGTTGCTCTACCTAACTGAGCTACCAGGCCAGGATTAAGCTAACAACGTTAGCTTGGAGGCAGTTAGTCATTCCTTTCTTCCATTCATGTGTTCTTCTATACTGTTTTATATGAAACACTCATTCTCAATTTGGGACATCTCTTCCCACTCAATAAATTCAACCACATTGAGAATCTATTTTCTGGTACAACTTGAATCTTTATTCTTTAACAAATACCTGTCTTTTAAAAATGTTAATGTAAAACAACACGTTAGTACAATCATGTGGTGTGATTGGTGGGTAGATCTAATCACACTATGTGGAGGTTTGTGATAACTAAATATGACAGACTCAAGAATTGTTTTATTTTTGGTTTGTAAGAAATTTACCCTTTATTAGAAGTTGGTTTGGTAACTTAAGGCTTTTTTTTTATTGAGTTATTTGTAGCAAATCTCTTCACTTTCTAGAGTATAGTTAGTTGTACAGTTAAAGGAACTTTCTGAGGTAATCTAGTTTAAATATTTACCCAATTATTAATATGAGGAAACTGAGAAAGGTTAAGTGAATTAGCTAACTTCACATACTTAATATTTTCTCTTACTTGTCTTTCTCTGCACGGATTCTTCACTATTTTCTGTGTCTCTTCTACGTAAACATTAAAGCAGGGAGGAGTAATGCTTTATTTAATTGGTAAGGAGTTATCATTTCAGAGAAAATACCATCCTCTCAATTTCTAGGTCTGACCCCTGACCCAAAGGTCGTGGAGAAGACAGTTTTAGCTGAATACCCATCACTTGCTGCCAGGGAGACCTGGGCAAATGCCACAGCAGATACTTTTCATATTGAACCTTGTCCTTCTCTTTTTCTGTGTGCCTTACCTACAGCCTGGCAATCCAGGGCCTAGATTTCTGATGTCACCTCTAGGTTTCCTTCTCTCAACTAGGACTACCAGGCACTTGCAGGGTAACATGCCAGCCAAAGGAGAGCTATGTCATGATGAGGTAGATGACTGCCAGTTTGAGCCTTTAGAACCCATTTTTGTTTTTAAAATACTCATGGTTAAGTAAGTGAAGTTTTGATTTTGAGACTGAGTAGAGAAGACCCTTTGGAAGGATAACTCTTCCTGGCACTCTTTGGATATTCTAGACTGTTGCATCCCCCAAACCCAGTAGGTAAGGATAAGAGTCATTTTCTAAAACGCTTCAGACTCATCTCATGATTCTTCAAGTTTCTTGGTGAAGAGAATGCACATATTCTCCCTAAGAAACATGATAGTCTATTAAGTTCTCAAAATACATTTTAATAATGAGAATGTTAGCTAAGGGATTACTTCCATGGTTGAGTGACATTTGGCCTTTTAAGATTGAGATTCATTGGATAGAGTTATCCTTTTTTATAGTATTCAGGACTCTGAATCTCATCCATTTCTTCTCCAAAAAGGAAACCCGGCAGCAGGTGAAAATTATCTCAATAAACAACCCACTGGTTTTTCTGAATGCAAAGAAGTTTCATGCTGATCTAATGAATATAATCCAAAAAGAACATGCCAGCAACCAGCCATTTGATGATACCAACAAGGTAGGATCAACTGTTTCATTATGATAATGTCATGATAACCTTATATGACCATACTAAAAAATGTATCACATCAATATAATACATTATAAAAGTGTACAGAGACTTCTACTTCAGCAAAACATTATATTGTATTATGATTTTTATTTGGGTTTTACAGTTAGCTCTAGGGTAATCTCTCACTTGTTATTTGTTTACTAGAGGCCCGGTGCACAAAAATTTGTGCACTCGGGGCAAGGGGGGGTCCCTCAGCCCGGCCTGTGCCCTCTCACAGTCTGGGACCCCTCGGGAGATAACGACCTGCTGGCTTAGGC